AAATTATCAAGGAGGCGGGGAGGATCTGATTCTGATCTGAGTCCTCCAAGAAAATCACATAATCCTGACGGAAAATTGTCAAGGAGGCGGGGAGGATCTGATTCTGATCTGAGTCCTCCAAGAAAATCACATAATCCTGACGGAAAATTATCAAGGAGGCGGGGAGGATCGGATTCTGATCTGAGTCCACCCAGACATCGCAGGAGAGATGAAAAAAATCATAGGTCAAATTTCCAACGAGAGAAACCTGAGTTCAGTAGACAACATCAAGAGCAGTCCTCCAGAAGGAGAAATTGTAGATGGCAAGACGATGAGAACAGGAGAAAATCTCCATCTCCAATCACCGATAAACGATTGACGAAGACTTTGGATGGAAAAACTGCAGGTCTGCGAGACGCCAAAGCCCTGAAGGAAGAAACAATAGCTCTCAAAAGACGAGAGAGAGCATTATTCAACGAGGTAAGTAACCCCCCGTAATTACGAGCAGGAATTAATTATGCCAAAACTTTCGCCAACATTTCCGGTCATTTAATTAAAAGTTACACCTCGGTCAGGAATAGCGAAATACTTCTATTCAAGTTGAGAAGTGTTATTTTATTTCAGATGAGTTCAGAGGTGAGTGGAGAGGGACAGGCTCCAGTGCTGCGTGATAGGAAGACAGGGCGGAGACGTGATTTGGCTGCTGAGGCGGCTGATAAACGGGAGAAGGAAAAAGAGCAAGCAGAAATCGATGAAAAATATGCCAAGTGGGGAAGAGGGTGAGTGCGATAAAAAAATCAATGCTGTTCATAGTTAAGTCATTGGCGTGATGGAATAAATATGGGAGCTCTTCAAAATGTCTGTGCAGGAAATCTTAGGAATACTCTATAATAAGTGTATAATTTTTTTCCATGGAAAATTAAAAATTTTCTCATTGCAAAATTTTGATTTTCTATTGGAACAATTATGAAAACTCGATTCCCTCGCTGCAAAACCATTCTATCGTTTTCAGAAATTTCAAATGGTTAAAAATAATAATTGATGAGCGTCAGATAAGCTATTGGTGAATTCCCCCCTTTAAAATAAATAACCCATTAATTTCTCTAGCTTGAAACAAGTGAGCGACCAAACCCAGAAGCTCCAGGACGACCTTTACGAGATGAGCAAACCTCTGGCAAGATACGCTGACGATGCTGACCTGGACTCTCAGCAACGGGCAATGGAGCACGCAGAGGATCCAATGCTCGCTTACATAAAAGACAAACAGATAAAGGAAGGGAAGAGAGAGCCTGATGCGCCGACATACGAGGGATCCTTCATGCCAAATCGGTTTGGAATTAAACCGGGTCACCGTTGGGACGGGGTTGACCGTAGCAATGGCTACGAGAAAAAGTGGTTCGACGCTCGAAACGCTAGAACTGCTGTACAAGAGGAAGCATACAAATGGTCCACCGCAGACATGTAAATTTCTCACTAATTTCACTAATAAAAAACTATTTTAAATCAAACACCACCTCATTAAAAACCTCACATTCCATTGAGCAACGTGGAAAAATTAGATAAATTAATGACAAATTTTTTCGCGCTATCTTCGAAGCTAAAATACATACCACAATTTTGCTCACAACCCTATTTGCAGAGCTGATTGGGACTCATCAAAAATATCATAGTCAAAATTTCGCTAACTCCCTTGGTTTTGGCGAAATTCCTGAAACACTCATCGAAGAGTTAAATCGACTCGTCCCATTTACTCCGCTACTGATCTCAATGCTCCAGCGGAATATCTCTGAAACCAATAAAGATAGTGAAAATCTCGTTAAAGCCTTTTATGGAGCTCTCATTTCGATGTGCAAAAGTGGTCTTGAAAAAAAAGCAGTATCTCAGTATGATTCAGAGCTATTGCTGGAAAACTCAAGGTGAAAATGCATCTAATCCGTCAACTTGTCTTCACTTTTTTACATACAGTAAATTTCGGTTAGAGTCGCATGCATAGCAAATTCGTATACGATAGAAATTTATTTTTCGGCTTTATTTCGTCGAGAATTCAATTGCTGAATAAATTGTTTACATCTTGTAGCCCGGAGGTAGTAAAGTGGGTGAACCGAGAGATACGCGAAAAATAAAATTGAGAAGAGGTGCGACTATAACGACAGCGACTACAACGAGATTCTACTGTAATGGTGATAATGATAACTAGATTAATTAAGGGACAAGATAATTCTCACGTGTACAAAGGGTCCGCCCCTTTGTTAATTGTGGGATTTCAGTGACATAGAAAAATGTGACAGGATGTGATGCGTAAGGTGGTTGGGTGCCTCCGGGCGATCCAGAGTCAGCATGAGCGTTTGGGGTGAGTTTCGATCGGGTTAGCGAGTCTCTGTGTCGGTTAGAAGACCAAAAATGTGGAGGAAGGGGGGATTGTGTGGGTGGTGAGAAGCTGGGGAGGTTCCAAGTTCCATACTACGGTTTAGATATGTATATACGCAGTCGCGACGCAAGGGCAGGGTCGTCGGCAGTAACCGTCGCGTAAGAGAGAGTCAGTATCAGTCAGTATACCTCGTGACACCAACGGGTGATATCCATGCTGCTGGTTCACTGTAGTGTAGAAAATAATAGTAAAGCCGGTAGTATTCAAATACCCGCAATTCCCAGTTGATGACATTTTGTAAATAAATAAAAATCAACTGACGCAGCACCAATTTAATCAAATGCACCTAGTTACCAGCGTCTTTTCAATCTCCTCGAGGTGAACAACGAGGTGGATTTATTATTTTTATTAATTGAGATATTGCAACGAAGACGTCCGGCCTTATCAGTACTAATAGTACGACTGATTTTTTTAAGGGGTTCATACACCACTCGCTATAGTCCAGTGATTATCTGTGATCAATCGTTTTAGAGAGGACCAATTGCTGATTTATTTTGACAACGAAAGTTTTTGCCAATTTCATTGTTCATTGAGTGTCCAACCACCGCTGGACTAACGTGTCAGATTCATAGGGAATATATCCCAAATGTTGATAAGAAACAGCGTTGTTATAAATTCATAATTATTTTGTGACGTGCATACGTAGCTGGACTAGCTGAAATTTTTTGTGATCGGCGATAAGTAAAATGGGATGCAATACGAGCAAGGAGAGCGTTCAAGCGGGCGCCGAAGAGGCCAAGGAGGATGTTAAGAACGGCGGTAAGTAGTCATAAATATTTATGTTTCCAAGTACAAAAATATGAGTGACACACAGATATGAGTGAAGCCAGAGATAACGTTATTTCTACTGTCTGAAATTTATACCCAAATAATATACGCGAATTTGAGTATAAATGCACATATTCGGAAGAGCTTTTGTGTGTCATGGGAATGGTTTTAGGGGCTAAGTCCGGGGGATTTGTAGGGTTTATCCTGATTCAGCAAAAATAGAGAAATTCTGAAAACGTCTTGACAGAACAAGTTGAGCTGAATATTCCCCTGTCTCTCGAGGACACCATTGCTCACAAAATGATATAGATACCGGGTATATCGTGCAGTTGTTCATCAGCAGTGACTTCCGTCACGTTGACATCCAGTTGAATAGATTAGTACTGCGTGCAACGAGTAATAGATATTGTTTCTTGTGGGCGTTAGATTCTTCCTCACTCATACTTTTAACTGGGAAGTTTTTGGCATTGCTAGGGGAACTGGATAGGAAATCAGGGGAGATGGATAGGCAGGAGTGGACACATCACAGTGGCAGTACTTGATTTAGCCTTTCAGCCACTGGAATAACTGAAATGAAATTGACTTGGCGTCTGCACTTGGCAAGGACTGTGTATATTGTTTCATTATCGATCGATCCTGTGCTTCCGCTCATTTCTGCTGTTTTTCTTGGGTTCTTTCCATCGTTGTACGCGAGTAATGTCGATGGGATATTACCATATCAGTGGGTTTTTTGGCCTCAGGGAATTGCGTCGCTGGTTATTATTGGGTGTTGGTAGGCTTATATCATTGTTGGTAATTTACGTGCGTTGGAATTTAGATTTATGCCAATTTGGTTGAGCCCGGGGATTTCTGTTGCTCAGGGATTTCATTATCTCGATGAATGGGCTTGGTGAGGATTATGATAGTCTCCTGATTCCTAGGGGTAGTCCTATCAGCACTCGTGTTGTTTAATAATGCCACTTGAAGCATCCTGCATGTGGGGAATGAAGGAGCCGAATATAGGACACTTCATCCATTATGAGCGTTACTTGAGATTCTAGTGTTATTTTCCTAGGGACAGAACTAGAAATTGAAAGTTTCGAGATGCCTTTACTTGAGAGTTTGTACGCAAACTTCGTGAGAAGGTTTTCATAAATCCCTTTTATGAATATGCCTATGGAATTCGGTGAATTCTCAACTTTGGGAACTTGAAGTTTCATTAATGCTCTTTCACCAGCATGTGCTCATGGCATTTATGAGAAAATTTGAAAAACTGCGCGTAAATATTTATAACTCTATTGTCATGCTTTTTTTATTTCCAGTGGATAAAAATTTATGAGGACTGCTATTGAAATGGCATTCAGGAATATACGGTTTTAATCAAAGTCACATTGAAATATGCAAAACTGGGAGAAATTAGAACGTCCATTTATTTACCGAATTGTCCCTACGGCAACAAAGCCCTCGGCTTTTTACCATCGAACATCAATTTCCAATTCTATTGGGAATAATTGATTGATGTTTGAAATAGAATGAAAACAGGTACGAAAAAAGAAAAAATTATTGGTTTGGTGTGGCCTTTCATTGATCTGTACTTAACCCTGAAATAAATACGAATTGAAGCAATTGCGAGATACACGTTACAATTACCTACGACCTTTTCCAAAAACGGGGTCTTCAAAATCCACTAATTACAATTATTAAAAAATTCACAATACTTAAACAAGACCCGAAATTGGTGCGTCATTCCGCCCATTTCTGGAACTCCTAAACTATTAAATTATTAGTTTCTCTTGGAGATATATCAGCCGGAGTTCTGGGTGTATTCACTTTTTATCATCGGGGCTGTACATGGCTCTGTAATATAAGGGCGCAAATAAATCTCTCGTGTGTGTGAATGTCAGAAAAGTGAAAAGTGGACAATTGCTGAGGGAGAATAGCAATAATTTTCAGGTTATCCCTTCTGGTCTGCAATATTACTGTGAGCAGAGATTTGATTGATGTGGTTTGTATCCTTGTCAACTGCGCACACATGGAGTTGTAAGTGTCAACGCATCTGCAGCCAGGAAGGTCAATTGACTGAAACTAGGTAACCAAATGGACAGAATGGACAGACTCCCTTGAATGACAATAACCAAGTGGTTCACCATTTTCATTTGCATACCAAATTGTATATTAAATTAGCTACAAGCATTTACCTATACACGACAATGTCCCGCAATATTTCAGTTATATTTGTCAGACGTCCCTGTTTGGATAAATAACATAAATCACTGACAAATTGATGGTAATTTCAGCAGTGAAAAAAAATCATTCATCCATCGATGTAACTGGGGTAGCAATTGTTATCAATCGATTCAAATTAATTCAGGATATTGAGTTCCAACATTCGCTCATTGCTTCTTATTGGTAACTGCAGTTCATACCATAATTCATTTTCATAAAATGATTGGGGGAGAATCGAGTGGGAAAAATAAAGTGCAAGCGATTGCGTGAGACAACGTTGACCCGTTTGGAGTGACATCTCGACAGATATGTTTATATTTCCTTGTCAGAAAGTCATTCAATGCAAATGAAGACTATTGGTAGCAGGTACATGAATCACTGTGAAATTCTAGAGTTGGAAAAACGAGGGGACACGAGTAACGATATGAGTAACAAAACGAGTACCAAAACGAGTACCAAAACGAGTAACAAAACCGTATTGTCATGGATATGAGGGGATTTATTTAAAAGTTAGTGATAGAGGGAGAAATGTCCCTGAAGTTTTAAACAGCAGTGGCAACCCAGAGAACAAACTCGATGGTTTGAGGGAGAGTTGGACACGGGAACAAAGGAGAAATAGGATAAAAACTGGAAAATCCAAGAAACAATTGCGAAAATGTTCAGGTTCGAGGCGGCAATTGCGATGACCACAGACTAGTCTAGTATTTAGTCCTGATGGTTCGCTAGTGAGGTCATTGGACGCAAACCATCGATTTTCCCATATTGGCGTCTCGCTTGGCATTTCCGATGTTTTGTGCAATCTAATGCACGCTTTCTGGTGCAAATTGTGCGAGGATATCCCCTTGAAGAGTACAGAAATAGTCTGAGAAAAATATTTCTTACTCCCACGGGGAGAATAACTAATACTGAAATTTACCCGTACGCTGTACACAGAGATGTTAATTTGTGAAATTACTTTAACAGATAGGAATTGCGTAGCGCAATGACAGTGCAGGAATTATCACAATAACGTATCAGTGACAGTTGTATGATAATAATAAAAAAAACTATCATTTTTTGCACAGTTATTACGAAACGTTATGAAATTTTGGTCCATCTATTGCGGTTTTTTTTTCATGAAATTGGAGTGAAAACTATATTTTATTTTTCGGTTAAAACACATGAGTTTTCACTTGATTCAAACAAAAACTTCTTCTAAATTCACGTAAATCACGCGATTCTGGTAAATATATCCTAGAAGTGACGCGAAAATCCTCGAAAATCAATAATCTTTATATTTTTTAATCTAATAAAGTGTATAATTGAAGGGAAGTTTTGTGGAATGAACTCAAAGAGGAATAATGGCGAAATCGGAGCATCAATTTCAAGAGTTTTAATGAGCAAATGTAAATTTAAAACTTCACCGTTTTTTTTGCCCACTTATAATACAAATGCCTTTAATTTACTATATCAATTATTGAGCTTCGGAGGTCTTTTTCTCTAGGTCAACAATAAAATACTTTTCAATGTTTTCTCACGTGGAATCAGATAATTGAGGGACTTCTCTTGGGAATAAGTAATGATTTTCTCGTGTAGACGTTCATTGAATCAACTTGAAGGTGAATTTTCGTGAGAAAGTACCTTAAGCCTGAGCAAAGTGATAATGATCGTGTAGACAGTTTCCAATTATTCTTGGAGGTAAAGGAGGGAAAGTTGAAAAAATGGGGTGGAGCAGTGTGGGAGGTATTGTTTTCAAAGCCAAGTGAATTCTTCATCACGATATTAATTTTTGAAAGAATTACAAAAAACTAGGTCACCTATCGTCCAGTTGGAATTTGTATTTGAATTTTTTCACCACTACCATCAAAATTTCAGATCGTATCGAAGATATACAATTCACTTCTGTTTTGCCTCTATTTTTATGAATTTCACTGACCTTTTAAGGAGTAAAATCGAATATTCCGTTTTTCAAGCCTTGAAATCATTACTGTTTGCACGAATTATCGAACTGTTAAACTCTGTTGCTTCATAATTCGCTATTTATTGATGTGAGAGACTTGTGGCACACGGCGTGGGATCATTGCGAATATCCGACACCCATGTACACACCATGTTAACTCATTCATGTCACGCGACATGCGTCTCTTTGGGTAATCGACTAGCTAATATCATGATTGACTCACGATAGTCCGTGTTCCACTTTTCCTGGAGGCAGCCAATTGCCTGTAGTAATTCCTTCCCTCTTCAAAAATGTAAGATGCCCCGAGATTTACTGAAAAAAAAATTACCTCTGTTCAATTAATCAACTTATCAAATACAAATGGCAATAATTTTAATTGACACGTATTCGCTTAAAATATGTTGATTTTTTTGCAGAAGTGAATTTACTTGGCTGAAGTTATTGTTCACATCGGGATTTTTTCGCGTACTTTATTAATTCTTTAGCATAATTAATGGCAGATAATGTGTGAGACCTTCGGTCGGAAAAAGTCAAAGGTGATGGGTAATTCCCATTAGCATTAATCGCTGATTCACCACAATGCTGGTCTGGAAAATGGATTCCTAGAATTGATAATGACTTTCTGTGAAGAATAAATGGTAAAAATCTGTGAAAATAAAAAATGATGGAGGCAATCGAAACTCTTCTGTATATTTCATCATCAACTTTGAAAGTCTCGGATAAATAAGTTATTCTTCCGCATTATTTACTTTTGCTTAAACAATTCTCCAAATCATGACAATTGTTCAGATTTTTCTTTGTTCAATAATTCCCACGTTTTATTCCCATTTCCTCAGCGACAACTGACATTTAACACTTATACTAGCGATTTGAATTGTACCCCAGTCACTTCGATTCATAAACCCATATAAAAAAATAATAAACGTACGGCCTGAATACTTTGATGGTCGATAAACTTGCGCTACGTGATTCAGAATTGCTCATCGTAGACATTGAAATTCCGTTCCCCTGGGAAAGTCAAATTCATCCGTAACCATTCCAACATTTCCCATGGTACCTGTTATTTATCACCAATGGAGCTCTTCAAGGAAGATGGAATCCCTCACGCCATTTTTCCTCCGACAATGGCGCTTGAACTTCAGAAATTCCAAGGTACACGGTCCCACTCTTGACTATTGATCCATCAAGTCAAACATTTCAAGTTTCAAGTATTTGTCCACTTTGAGTAAATGATTCTCTCCCCAGAGCTCTGCCTTCATACGTAGATTCAACCGAGATGTGAAAAATCGAGAGGATCGAAGAGTGATTCATCGGGCAATGGGGTTCACCATTCCGATCGGTCTTATTCCCCTTTTCCATCACGATATCCACTGATTGCATTTACAAGCGCCTCCCTGAATAGAAAGCCAGAAAAAAAAGGTAATGAACAAAAAGAGGATTTAAGCATTTAAGCGATAATGTATTCCCCAGATGAAAGAGATTGTGCATGTGATTTGTGAACGCCCGATAAAATCAACTGAAAACTGTCTAGATTTTTTGCACTTTGGCAAAAAAGTTGTCTGCGTGCTTAAATGTACCTTTTTCACTGAATAATTGCAGAGCGACTGAGAGGAAAAACTTTTTACTGAATACCGTTGAGTTATGGTAGGTATAAAGAGGTGATTATAAATTTGAAATGGCAGCGCGTGAATGGAATTGCTCGGGGCAATTGGCGGGGTAACTGAATCACCGCGATACATGTATAATATTCAACAGAACGTGAATATCATCGTAATTGCTTCATTTACCAGAACGATCATACGATAACTTTGTGTCCCGGGGTTGGAAGCGGTGAAATTGTTGGACGACAGTCGGTAATGTAGTGAAAGCTATCGTGCAGAAGTCCAATGAACATACCAAGGAGCTTTTTCAATCCCTTCATTACCAACGGGGAACTCGCCATCCTCTAAATTATCGTGTTATCATCCACGGGAACATGTCTGACCATTCGTCGAGGGTGCCACTCGAATCTTTAAAATTTTCTGTGAGTGAGGGATTTATCGACGTGGCCAAAATATTTTGGGATTCCCATATTTATTTGATTAAAACTTATAGGTTTCATAGCATTATCGATCGAAAGCTCGGCAATGGCAGAATTGTCGCCGAGTTTTTCACGGAATTACAAAAAATTGATGAATACAAATTTTTGTTAAATTTTAATTAAAGGTTTAATTAGGAAGGAGAGCGGAGAAAAAAATACTTGTGCATTTGATTTGGTCTTTGGAGGTGGTGGAATTGAGTCAATATCGATTTTTGATCGATATCGGAGTGAAAGAACGATATACTAGGCGTGGAAATATTTATTCTGGTATGAGAGAGCTTATTTGAGGAAAATGAAGTTTAGTGCTTCCTGTACCCTGGAAAGTTCCATGGTTATCAATGAAAGCTCTGATTCCTGGAATGATTCAATGCATTGAGCTTTGGATAACGAATGTGACATTTCTCTGTACCAGATCATGCTTGGCGTCACGAGCTGAAACTCGATTTTACTGATACATTTCCTGTTTTGATTTCTGCTTCCACGAATGGCCTCGCCTCCTATTTACTTATTTTATTTTATATACCTGGAATTTCAGTGATTCCCGAAAACTTCTATTGGCCAATTTAAACATAACTAATCAATATTAATTTGATTTGATTCGATGCTAGGTTTTATTTTCTCAATACCGAAGTAATTACTCACATCAAATAACATTTCGAAATGAATTTTATATAAAGAAATCAAAATCAAAATCAAAAATACCTGGACCTAATTTTTTCAAGATTCATCTCTATGACTACTTTATTCCAGTTAAACTTCAATTCCGTTTCGAACGCTCGGCTAATTGAATAGGAAAACAATCAGAGATTATTTTTTAATTGCAAGTCTCTTGTCCTTATTCTCAAGTCTCCTTCTCTAAATATCTCACCAAAGATTCCTGAAAGGAAAACTCTTTGATAATAGGTCAATTTGTTGGATAAGAAAAAACTGGCTGGATAAATATTGATTTGGGTAAATTAATTGATTAAACTTTAAAGCTTGATTAATCGATTAATTCGGGGGAATTGGGCAGGACTGGGCCTTTACGTACTAATTCCAGGACGAGTTTCATAAATTGGTTTTATTTCAGGATCCTTAGATTAATTGGTGTACCCAATTGGAACACAAAAAGGGTTAACCAATATTGACATGGGACAAGAAGAAAGCCCTTTTTTTAAAGCTTTCGATTAAACTGATGCACCATCATTCACGAAAAAAGCCTGTATGTCAAATATTTGCGTCTCGTTAGGTTAAAAAAAATATTTGCTCCCTCGGTTTCCACAAAAATCTATGAACCCATAAATAACTCAAAAATGAAATTTCAATTTATCTATCTCCATTATTTAATGGAAAATTTGAACAAAATGGGAAGTAAAAATGCAATCCCTTCGAATGGTGATAATTGAAAGAGAAAAAAACTACCTCCGAAATTCCAACTGAATACCCAGAATAATATTCTATTTTTATTCTGGCAGAAAATAAATAATAGCTCGCGGAAAAATATTTGAATTGTACGGGCGAATTCCCAGGTGGCGTGGGAACGTGTAAAAAAGTTTGAAAAAATGAGAAACTAAAAAGTACAACAGGAGATACAACCATCGGAGGGAATAAGTCGAAAAATTCCCGGTGATAACAAACATGGTGTTTCGAGGGAAAGCAATACATACTCTACGAAGCGGATAATTCCCGATCTTCTCCAGTTCCCCAACGCCAACTAAATTAAATAACTCGGCAAATGGTGTTTTTATTCCAACAGAAGGTGAAGAACGAGAATTCAATGAATTTAAGTCTTTTTCAACTAGAAATGAAAGACACATTGATAATATTCATGAACAAAATAGATGCCCAATCGAGTGCAATCGAGTAATGTATATTCATGTAGTGCAGTAACACGATCAGATAATATAATTCACATTCAATATTAATTATGACCGACTCGATGTGGACAATCGATCTGCGTAAAAACTTCCAAGATAGGGACGATTTTAATGATGAATCACGATAAAAGCAACTTGAAAGCTTCTAACAGTAAGAGATAAAATAAAAAAAATGAATGTTTCTGGTACTTATTTCTCTGAGTCCGTGGTTTATTTAGATGCGTTGATGCGAGGAGTACTCGTGAGGACAACTTGGTGAGTTCGCGTGAAAGAATATTGACCTAGATGTGGAGGGGTTACTAAGGCGACAAGTTGAGTGCAAGTGACTTGAAGGCATTAGACTCTAAGACCTATTTCCAAAAAGCTCGGTGGAGGGCTGGTTTGAATGAGCAAGTGTCCTGAAGAGAAGGTGAAGACTGGGAGTGATTAAAATTCGAGGGAAAGGTGAGTAAAGGTGGTAAAACTGTCTGAACATTGAGATTCTGTCACCACTGGCAGTGAAAGTCAGTTGCTCTAGTCAGGAATACCGGTATTGGTATTCCTGGATTCTTGAAACAAAACCGGTGAAAAAAGCCATGGCGCCTACTACCCTGGTCGTGTTATACCCGGGTCTATACCTATCCACTCGTACAAGACCGAGACTGTGTGGCTCGCGCGCAGGGTTGTGGCCCCGGTTATAAAAGGGGTTGAACGCGCTTTCGTTGTGCCAGTTACACATCTCAGTTTGCACCAGGTGCACCACGGATATTCACTTCACTGGTGAGTCTAGTGCAACCGTATACACCATTATTTCAATTTATCCACTTGTCCAATTTTTTTTTTCAATAACCATTCCCTCCTTATCCCACACCCCTATTATCCTTATTCTCATCCCTCTCTTATTCCACTCGTTCCGCTCTCTTTATCACCATGATCTCCCGATCTCATGATACAATGATCTCACGATCTCACGATCTCATCATCTCATCTCTCATCATCTCACTATCTCAACATCTCAACACCTCGGATTTAAAAAATAAAATATTTATCCCGCTTGCTTTCAATTCATCGAATGAAATATTTGATCTTTTATTGTTCTCTACACCTTTACTCTCCTTTCCGAGTGCGCACATTCATAAAATTATTCACAGCATAAAAATGCAGTTTTGACTCTTGTTCTCTGCAATAAAATTTCCATTTTTATCCGACGTTTCATGCATGATTAAACGTGGGGCAACTACTTTTTAACCCTAATATCAAGTGGTTAGTGCGATGGAGGGATTAAATATTCAAATGACTAAGTCGAGCATTCACTCGTTATGTGAGTCAGTACGTTAGAGTGCAATCAGCAATCAGCGTGGATTGCGGGGCACATGAGGCCATAGGCATTTTTCCTGAAAATGGCCAGGTCCGAGAGTAATGGAGAAAAGAAAGAGAATAAAAATGGGGGATAAATTTTTCCTCAGCCAGTAATGTAATTGGTAAGAGTATTGGTAGGCAGTGAAGCCCAAGTGCACCTGAATATCTACAATGGAAAATAAAATAATGGAGAAATGCTGAAAGCGGAGGAAGCCCCGTCGTCCGAGTTGGCAAACAGTGTGAAAGAGTTGGGCGTACGGGCTTGAAAAACGGCTAGTTGAGCTTCTCCCTGGTGACGGGGGGTAATATAAGGATTGAGGAGGGTAAAATGAATATGCCACACTTCCGGATATCCGGACTTTCATCGCCAAAAGGGAGGGAAAAATTCCCAGCTATTTCGACACCGGCATACCGCAAATTTTTCATTTACTCGCCAACTAAATCGATTGACTTTACGAATATCCCGCGCTTTTCACTCCCATCCATTGTTCTTTCCACTTGTTTCAATTGATAATAGAATTCAGCAGACGAAAGCAACTACAAAGGATCAAGAGTATCGATCCTAGTCACTATTTCTTATCATTTACCACTCAAAATTTCGCCTTCTCTTGATTATTGCTAATTGGATTGACGTCGAACACATCCACATCAAATTGGATTCTATTAAAGAGGTCTGGGTCAACGCGATTAACGAATGGGAAAAGCGATGATACACGTTACCACGTATTTTGTGGAAATGGAAAAACAAGAGAAATTGAAGAAATTGGGGGTATGAAAAACGAAACGAACTGGAGATAAAAAGGTCGGGGCAGAGTACGTGGAAACTAGAAGAGACGAGAGAACGAATTCGATAGGAATTAATCGTTGTATGGGCGTCCAAATGATCCAAGTCCCACCAACTGATCGCCTCTCCATCTTCTGTACCTAAAATATTCACATCCTCGTAAAATACCTCTCGCTGTGAATGCACACAACAATTGGGCGTCAACATCGATTTCATTAAATACCGAGTATCGATTTGTCAATAATGTAGTGTAGTACTGGATCTCATTATTTAAAACATATGCACCCCTAGCCACTCTGAACGATAAAAAAAAAATATATTATTTCAGGGGAATTATTCGAAATAATGATTTTCACTGAAATGTCCCCGCGTGGAATTGTAAGCGGAAGCAACTGGAAATATTAATAAATTGTCGTTAATTTTGTTGCGTGCCGGGCTGGTCCACTCGCGATAGAATGAACATTATCTGGAAATTTAATAATGATACTTTAGAATGAACAAAAGTTTTGGGGGGAGGTGGGTGGAGAGTGAATTATTTATGAATTTAGTTGGTGGAGTACGGGGCTCTTGGGAATATGCTTTAACTGGCTCAAAGAGTTCGATGTATGTATATCATATATAAAGCTCATCGATTCGGATAATATTCCTCGGTATATTCCGGGAGTTCTGCTGTGGATTTTCAATAAGTTGTCTGGGAAAATATTTCCCTCGGGAATTTTTCCACTCGCGTTCACCGGTAATTTTTGAGGGCCGGGCCAAAGTGAAAAGAAAATCGTAGTATATTCATGACTAGGCTGTCTATAATGGTTTGAGTGTACATCCAGGACTCATTAGCATTTCACATTGGTGAGTGCAAATGGAACACTAAATTATCACTTTAGACGGAAAAATGACGGGGTAAAATGCGGCTCTTTATACTATTCGATGAGATCGAATTGGGGTTGGGGTTCGATGGAAAATTTAAGTCGGTTTAAATATCACGATAGGGAGAAATCGATGGGCCGATTGAACGGGTGTTGTCGGTTGCATGGAAATAGATATCGGGCAATTCATAAGTTTTGTCGATTCACTGGAGTCTAAAACGATCAAAAGTTGTGATTTTTTTTTAGAATTGTTACTTTGTTTAGAGTATCGTGGAGAATATGAAGTATTCATGTAGTTGTGAGTACTAGAGTACTCGCTGGAATAACGCGTAGTGATCGTCAAGGGTGCTCTGAAATTTGTGAGATTCGTGAGGAAAAGCCGTGGAAATTCTTCTTCCAAGAGATTTTTTGATATTGGGTAATGGAAGGAAATTTCATAGGAAAATTCGAGGGCAATGCAAGTGCACTGTTAAATATTTTCTTTGTTTAGTGGGTAAACCATCGGATCAATCGTGCAAGCTTTTTTCAACTTTCTTTCGATTTTTATTTGGCTTCGCGAAGTATTTGAAGTATTCATTCAATCGTTGGATGCACTGACGTAATTCCCCGGTGAAGTCGTGCAGAAGTCGTTGGAATTCATGATATTTTTGCGATGCGATGGAAAAAAGGAATCAAAGGGATAAATTTGATTTGAAGAACATCTTTAATCGTATTAGAGGTTTCCCAGTCGGATTGAAATCCCCCCTTTCACCAGAAATGCTCAGAGAATATCCGTGAAATATCCAGAACCGAAGTCTGCTGTCTCTTCTATTGTAATTCCGTGGGAAATTGATATCACTGAATTATTCCCAACTTTACGTCTTATTCCGCCCCTTTGGACACCATTAAAATATTTAATTTGGGGTTCCAAGAGAAAAAACTTCAAATTTCCAATGATAGTAAAGTCACATGAAATTTAGACAGAATTCTTCATTAAAAAACTAGTTAACGTCTTGAATATTCAAGTAATTTTTAATTTTCATGAATTGGAAAATCTCTACAAAAATTAATTATATTCGATATTCATTGAAAGTTTGATGATCGTTTACCATAAAAAATGCAATTATCTCCGATTATTTCAGATGAATGAGAAATTTCCAGTGAAGTTGAAAATTCAGATGACATTGTGATGGAAATTTGATGAAATTTCCACGAGAAGAATGCTAAAAATCTGCTTTTCCACCGATTAATCTCCAGTGTATCAGAAGAAAAGCCGTCGGGTGAAATAAGTGTTCCAAAAAGTTTCACATCTTGGAAAGTCTTTTATTTTGTGTAAAGAAGTTTGAGAGTAGTAATTTGGCCACCTCTGAGGCGTCCAAGTAGAGAGTACTTTGCCGAGCTCCACGGCTCATGTAATTGGCAATGGTGAGAATTTGGCGGATTTCCAAATTAGCCAGCGATTCGCGCCCCAGAGGGACAACAAGCGCTATGTCATCAGTTGTTCCTATTTACCTTTTTTTTTCTCCTGATCCCTCCGGTGAATGATAATTATTTGAGTACGGCTCTCCAATTCATCCATCAGATAAATCATCATCACTCTGTTTATTTCGGAAACAGAAGGTCTAACGAAGTCTAATGGCATCCTGAGATTGTTAACCCTCCGGGTTTAATCTATATCCCCTCAGCCCTCAACAGCACAAACAACAGCTGTACAACACCCCCAACAATTTCTCAGCATACGCAGCCGGTATACAATTACCTGGTAAGATTATCTGTTGGACTTTCGCGAATGCGATTAACCAAAGTACTGAATAACTTATCGCTCCTCTCGTACTTCTGGATGTTCAAGTACTCTATAGAGAAGCTTTTGTGATGTCTCGCCGAACCCCTGAGATTTGATGCAACTTCTTCCACTTGTTCTATTCCTCTTATACAAAGCCAAAGTAGAAAATTTTCAGTCGAGTGCTTTTTTTTCGCTTTTGAATCATTAAAGTGAAGAACGCGCCAATTTAAAGAATTCAAGAGGATTGGTTTTAATTCCTCTCCGGCACTTGGCTTTCAATTATTGGAGATATACTTGCGTTCCAAATGTTGTGGTTCGGGGTCAGTGGTGACAATTGCTAAAAGTGCATGGAGGTGAATCTTCTTCTTCTTTTATTGCTCGGTGAAATCTTTTGAACATCTTTTGTCTTATATACAAGGTCTATGTTATGATACAAACGAGATTCGTAGTTCCAAATGCACATGAATCGTCGAAGGCAACGAGTATCATAGACTCTGTCCTAGAATATATGATCGGACGTTTGCAGAGCACCCCATACCTAATTCAATTCATCACAATCACTCGAGGACACCTCTCATTGTTCAGTGTAAAATTGTGGAATACCGAACCCAACACATCGACAAGGTTGTTTTGAAAAGAGCCTCGGTACAAGTCACTAGATCGTGTTCTGATTTTGTACAACTCGTTAGAGTTCCCTTGGCGCTTTTCCGATAAGAAACATCCAGCGAAACGTGATCTAACTTCGAATTCAACCGAAAATTCCATGACATTTTCGAGGTGAGGTCAATATAAACGAAAAATATCGGTGGCAAATCTACCTGAGAATCATAACAAGAGAAACTGCGGCTAGGAGACAATCTCATGAAATTAATTAAGGTTATTGGTTCATTTAATTATTTAGAATAGAAAACACAAAGGATTTTTGCGCAATTAACATGGAATTTCACGGCAGGTGATAGTGTATTTTCTATTTTTTTTTTTGCTTTCATCACGGTCTCGTCAAAGGCTTGCGGTCTGTGTCTACATAGTCAAATGCTTTTGATTATTCCCTTGATAAATAACGGGGAAAATGAAAAATGAGAATTTACTAGATCAATTTTCATCGTGAAAATCCTTTAACACAAAGCAAAATTTCTCATAAAAATTCACATCACTACATGCGTGGGGCATTGTCCCCTGGGAATAAATCAATTTTCTCAAGCAATATGTGACATGAAAAATTCAAATCTTCTTCTCATAAAATTGAAATAATCCGGAGAAAATCCCATTACGTGGGATTAATTTGTTTGAGGGATTTACGTAATCAGTAATATTTCTGGAGTGTCAGCAAAATCAGCCCGGAGTTTTTTCCACTGGGTAAAATACGACGAACGTTCGTTGCAGATAAAAAAAAAATCCAGAACTGTGGAGGCGTTCGTAATTATTATCCCCCGCATAAATTTTTATGATTCAACGACGTTAATATTCCGAAAGATCTGACCTAGAGATTATATCCTCATTAGGAGTTCTAATTCGCATTATTCACATCATGAATTGGGAATAATCTTTACGTAACTAGAAACACTCCCCACCGAAAATTCATTAAATACTGAAAATATCGAATTTTCAATAACAGAAAGGTGAAAATAATTATTAGCATAT